TTTTTAAGTTGCATCTTTATCCGTAAACAAACAAATAAATAATAACTAAAACCCATCAATTCCCCTCCGAGATTCTTTAGTGTGGATAAACTCCCAAAGGTCTTCAATATGTTCGAATGACGTGCACAAACTTCTGACTTCTAAATAGATTACTCAGACTGCGGACCTCGGCTTGTTACGTCGTATTCATATAAGTTATGTTTGCTCGCTAAATTTATACGGAAACTGAATTAATATGTTTTAAAAGTACACACAAAAATTATTTCTCACATATGAGAACATTTTATTTCTATTGAAAATATTTTTTTTTTGTACCTATGCACAAATCTATTTAATCTTCTCGGGATTCCGCGAAAACCGTCTCGTAAGAAAAAATCACAAAATTAACAGTTAAAACCATATTTTGTTATTGTACATTGCCTCGCGTAATTCCATTAATCATTGAATACGTTCTTTTAAAAAACGATTTCTAAGAAAATTTATTAATACTGGATCGTATTTTCGCCAATATGTGTACAAAATTGACATAAAAAGTATTATTCAATACATACATTTAGAAGAAATCAGAACAAGGTATGTTGTACTTTTTGCGAGTCACGGTTAAAAGATTACCAAAGGACACATACGCTAAAATACAGTTTGTAAAAAGATAGATTGGACTCTATCAAGATGGATTGATTTTTAAGGCAGTCTTTTAATAAATAATATTTAAAGTTTGCGCGCTGTTTTCCGTTTAATTTAAGACATAATTAAGTAAAATTATTGTTAATGTTTACGATTTAAAATTCTTTTTAATCAATATAATTTTAATTTCTTATAAGAATTTTTAAAGATTATAATATTGGTTCGATGATTAATGAAACTACTCGAGGCATTTACTGTAAGAAAATAGCAATTTATTGTACTTGTACAAGAACAAAATATAGTTTTAACCGATATCATTTTTGTGATTTTTTATTACCCGCATCTTACGAGACGCTTTTTCTGGAATCCACAATAGCACATATACATTTGTGTAACTGTGCTTTGAAATATGTATATTTGAAAAATATTTACAATAAAAATTGTACCAAATAATTTTAATGTTTGACGCGTAGTGACAGTACATACATATAAGTAACATACACTCAAACAGAATACGAGACCCCTATAATGAGTGTTACCACAAACCGCTATTATTCTCATACCTTTCCTTTTATGTTGAAAGCATATTGTGGTCCCTTTCTATTTCACCCTCTTCACGTAGAGTTCGTGTAGACAATAGTAAATTTCACACAATTACTGCACGGCTTACTTCAGTGATTTGAGCCTAAGTAAAAATTATTGAGGAAAAAATGAAGCGGAAATTCTTGAGTCAAATAAAAGACTTTTAAGGAATTAATAATTATAGAAACAATCTTAGCCAATTTGTCTTATTTTTTCTATTTTTTGTTTTACCTCAACCTCGATAAAGTCTTTATTGATTACAATTTGAAATTATTCTCTTCATGCTCAAGTCGTGGTACAACCATATTAGATCTACATTTTTCTTTTGTAATGGAGTTATTTAATTTGGTATGTTATTAATTATTTTATATGCGCAGGTGTAGGTGGTGGACAACTTAAATTGTGACAATTAAAGTGAGGTGAATGTGAATTCGGCCTCTAATCGCTCGCGTAATGACTCTTGTATAATAATAGCTACCATTAGGTTTTACATTAAGTACTTAGTTACAATTTGCTCTGTCCTATACAAAAGTAATTACTCGTAGTTTCTTTTAAAACATCATAATATGCTTAGCATTACAACATTGCTATGGACTTATTTTGAAAACTTTGCATTTAAAGCTTACTAATCAATCGAATTTAACAGAGGTAGTGCCCGCTTTAACATCTTAGCACGAATGGGCCAGCACGCCCGGTGTAACACCACGTCCACACAGAAGATAAGCGTGAAATAGAAGCAATTCCGTGTTTCGTCTGATGAGTGTGGTGCCGGAGGCCTAATTTAAGTACCTTTCTCTTTACCACCCTTTTCTTATAAGGAGAGGAT